ATAACTGCCCAGGTTTAACTGCGATGTCCAACATCCAAATACTTTTGTTTTGTTCTACTTATGACACTGATTCGGGTACTTGGGTATACTTGTATGTTTTTATAAAAATACTTATATTTTTGAAAGTATACTTTTAGTTTAGAGCACTTACGCCCCTTAGTGTTTATAGTTGTATACCATGTAAGGTTCGGTATACTTAGTTCACTATAAACAATAGCTCTGATACCAATCTGTCACACCCTCGAACCGTCAGAAATAACGGCGGAAACGTCCGGGGGCGGGTGACGTCATGCGTAGTATCACAACAGTTGTATCATAGTAAGCATAGTAAACACAACCAAACATTGAATACATACATGAAAAAGGTTTACATAGTCTTAGTACATAGTTTTATACACATCAAAGTAAAATGAAAAGACGAGATTCTATCGCGCAGACTTCTCCAAAATCCTGGAAGTACCTGTCTACAAATTCCTGAGAATACAAACAGTTTGAAAGAGTATCAGCATAAAGCTGGTGAGTTCATAAGCGTTTATGTTTTAGAAAACTATTCTATATTGTTTTGAAAAATACGTTATGTTTCTCCTTAAAACCTTATATTTTCTGATGTAAAGAATGTTAGGTAAAAATGATTCTTTGATGTCTTTGAAAAGTGTTTCCCAAAAAAATCCTATATTTTCTTATGAAAGATGTTTGATTATCCATTAGTTATTTGTTAAACAGTACGTTTATGAAAGCTTGAGTTATTCCAGGAAAATCCTATATTTTTCTTATGGTTGATGGTTGGTTATCTGTTTCTAGTCTGAAGTGTACAAGTGTCTATCATACTTATATCGTTAGACGTAGTTTTCTTGAAAAACCCTGTTAGCTCCCTATGAGGTGTATTAGCCTTATTACATAAATAAAACTAATAAATAAGTGGTGAACTAAATCCTAAGGGTGTTATTAATACCCTCTAATAATCGAATCGGATATTACTTTGAGGTTGGTTCATTTGATTCATTATTACAAAAGTAAATTTCTGTTATCTGGGTTGTGGGTGTCATAACCGTACTTAAACTTGATATGGCACGTAGCGGGGCCAATATCCTTTTATGGCTTTGTCGCCCGTAGACCTGGCGGTCCCACTGTAGCTAGCATCGAGGTGCGGGATAGTCAGTCCCGTATAGATCTATACACAACAGTCACGCTCTCCCTACAAGAGATTCTGGTTACAAGTGCTAGTCCTACACTCTCGAATTCGGTGGGGAGTGTTACAAAGGACGTGTTCCCAACTTTAGACTAACAATTTACAAGTAATAATACTAAAAAATTCTGTTTATAATTTGCATGATATACATTTTACTATACGTTTCACGAGTTCATTACTTTAGTTTTGAAAACTGTTTCTACGAGTTGATTTCTTAATCGTTTGGTAAAACTATTTTCTATGTTAAAAGCATTCTAAACATGTAATTATCTTAAGCAAAATAATATAATTTGAGCACAAGTTTCCTTGTACTTTTGCTTGTATTCCCCCCCTGAAAACATGAAAAACTCGGAAAAAGCGTAGGGGTATGAACTCACCGTTTGACGTGGGATTCGAGTGTAAGTTGCTAGGAATTGTTGAGTGTCAAATAAAGCCTCGGGCACAAACGGATTCCTATTTAGCATGTAGAAGTACATATATGTATTAGGTGCGGGCATAACACTATTTGTTATGGAAAGAACCACCTTAGGGACTAGGAAACACTTAAAACTAAGTGTTAGAATCACATGTGATTGAAAAGGGGAGTTTGCGGACGTAATCAGGAGTGTGCGGTCAGGGGTTTACGGTCCATGGGTTTACGGTTCCATGGGTTCACGGTCTAATGACCTTACGGTCATAAGGTTCACGGTCTAATGACCTTACGGTCATAGGGTTTACGGTCCATGAGTTTACGGTCTTTGGGTTTACGTCCCATGAGTTTACGCTCATTGAAGGGTGTACGGTCTAAGGAGATACACTAGACCGTAAACACTTTTGTTCATGGAAAAATGACGATTTCAAGGCAAAACTCGAGAATCCTAACTAGATATAAGTATAAGAGAATGATACTTACGATTTAAAGGCAAAGAGAGGTGTTTTCGGTCCAAAACACTAAGGTGTTCTTGAGGATTCTTGAAGATCTAGATAAAAATATGAAATCCTTGAATGAATCAAGAGTGAATCATGAATATAGTAAGGATTAACACCCAAAGGAAGGAATCACTTACTTTCTTGAGGGTTTTCCTTGAGTAAACTTGATGAAGGTAGAGAGAGAGTAGAGAGAGAAAGCCTTTGAAGTGTGTAAAGGGTGAAATGAAGGTCGTATACTATATATATAGGGTAGAGTTCTCGGTCAAAGGGGTCCACCCGGCACCGACCGTAAACGGGTTTACGGTCAACACGAGTTTACGACCGTAAACTCGTTCTAACCGTGAACTCGGTGATTTTCGAGGAAGTTTCAAGTTTTTCGCATGATTCCCGGTTTATTCCGAATCGTATAGAATTTTAATTATATCCCTAGTTGATTTACTTAACCCAAGAAGTTGACGGAAAAGTTAATAAGATTAAATTTTATTACGGGAGATGGGTTAAAAATAACGAGAGAAATTTCGGATTGTCACAACCTATACTACATATGATCAATATATTATGTATTACAATAATCAAAAAACGAAGAAAATATAAAAACGAACTAGTATAACAAACTTACAAATTAAAAGCTGTAATATAATAACATATCTCCAAAAGTGGTCATAAGACCTTAACCCAACACAAAAACCTTTAAGTTTGTTTTCTTTCTGAAATTTGTATATGATTTGTATGCATGTCTTTCCAAAAGATTGACATTTTTATAGTAAACTTCTCACTAAATGCTAATTAAACATAATATAAGTTATAAACTTTTGAGTGTTAAATCATAATTAAGAAAACTTTTGAGTTGCATTAGTTAAAAAATGGGATTTCAAATGAATGTGGTTTGAGAAAGTTAAAAAAGGGGTTTCAAATGCATGATATTCAAGATAAAATGCAATATATATATATATATATATATATATATATATATATATATATATATATATATATATATAGTAAATGAAGGTTTTTTTTTGTTATTTGTCACACTCTCATTCAATTTACCAAATGTCATTTTGTAGTTATTTTGAATTAATTTTTATTCCACATGTCATTTTATGGTTTTTCTATTTTATTAATTTTACATAGTATTTAAATGCAATAATAAATGCATATTAATTTCCTTAATAAACTTTCCTTTTTAATTTTAAAATTACTAAATTAAGGATTCATTAATTTCCTTTATTTATTTATCTAAATTATTTGTTTAAACTTAGAGAAAAAAAACACTTTAATTTTTATAATTTAATATTTTTCACATTTTTCTTATAAATTCAAACTTCTCAATGTTTAGAATTTGATATTTAGTTTTTTGTTTTTAAATAAACTCATGTAATACATGAGTTTCATACCTAATATATATATATATATATATAATATATATATATATTCATATACGAATAATTATAATAAAAGTGATTATTCATATATGAATATGGTGGCGGTGGGTGGTGGCGGAGCTGCCGGTTGTTGGAGGTGGTTGGTTATGGAGGTGGTGGTGGTGACGAAGATGACGGTGGTGGTTGGTGGTGGGTGTGGTGGTGGTTGGTGGCGGAGGGTAGGTGATGTATTCATATATTAATATATTTATATTTATATTCATATATGAATATTACTCATCCTTCTTCGGCCCGGTTCGCCGAAACGTTTTGCGGCAAATATAAATAATTGGCTGAGAATGATTTTCCATTCTCAAACTTTTATTTTTTCAATTGAACTTACATCTCTCTCTTTATATATATATATATATATATATATATATATATATATATAGAGAGAGAGAGAGAGAGAGAGAGAGAGAGTGTGTGTGAGGTTCAATAGAAAACAATAATTAACAAGGAACCAATGAACCAATCGTGAGCGTCGGAAATCATAATGATCAACGTCCAAGGAAATAGATGTACACTTTTATATTGGACGCATACACACCAGATTATACCAAAAAATCTACATCCTTACCAAAAAACCCACCTCTTTTTTTTCTTTTAATGACGTGGCTTTTTTTCTTCCCTTCTCACGTTTGAGGATACCTTTTAGCCTAAATATCTAACAAAGAAAAGCCTGTCAACAAATACAACTATCGACGTTGTTGCCGATAACCCTTTCTGTGTAATCATTATATTATTTTGATTTTGTCAAGTGAGTTTGATTGAATACATTCTTAACATGTTATAAATTTTTCTGTCTCACTAAATAAATCATAATTTGAGTAATGTTTTGGTTGGTGATCTTACATAAACTACATTATCTCTTCGATTGAAGTTGTGTTTGAAAGTGATGTCTTGGAGCTATTTGGCTTTTTTTATGTCGTTATTTGAAAGGATTGTGATGTTTCATGTAAGTTTTTTGTAGTGAGGTCCAAAATATTGATTTTTCTTGCAAGTTGAGTTTTGTGAGTTTCCGTGTTGAAAAATTATTTATATAAACGTGGCTTCTGGAACGGTGAATTCATTTAAGAGTAAATTACACGAATTGTCCCTATGGTTTAGGGTAATTTGCATGTTTGGTCCCTAACTTGTTTTTTTAACTCGGAAGGTCCCTATTGTTTGTTTTTGTTACACGTTTGGTCCTTGTCTTACCCTAAAAAGATTAGTTTGCCATTGATTTTTTTAATTTATTTAAATAAACACACCTCAATTCACCCCCCACCTTACCTTACAGACCCCACCATTTTTTTCTATTTAAATAATAGTCTTTTTAGGTAAGACAGTGACTAAGTGTGTAACAAAAACAAATAGTATGGACCAAGCATGTAATAAAAACAAACAGTAGGGACCTTCCGAGTTAAAAAAAATAAGTTAGGGACCAAGTGCGCAAATTACCCCAAACCATAGGGACCATTCATGTAATTTACTCTTCATTTAAATAAACTTCACATTCAACTGTTTCTTAAAGTTCACATCTTTTTCTTCCGGGCTTTTGATAATTCTTTGGAAGCATGCAAGTTCGAAGAGGGAAACGATCTGTGGTATATTTTGAGTAAACTTTATTGCTTTTCTTGATGATTTTTTTTTTTGGTTTTTTTGTTTGAAGGATGCGCGTTTTTGTAGGCATTTTGGCCGTCAATTGTGATGAAAAAATGGTTAAATATTCATCCAAAGAATAATGATTTTAGTGAAGACGAAATGGATACTGAAAGTGAAGATGATGGTATGTTTTGATCATGAAAAAGCTTTAATTTTTTCTAGTCTAATATTGAGTAGATTTTAATATTGAGACCTGAGAATATTTCTAGGGCAATCATGAGAGAAGGTCATTTATGTCATTTTCACAAAAAAGTGAGTGAGTCTAGCCCTTGTCCTATCTTAGTAGATGGGAAAAAAGTTGCATTTTAGATGTCATTGAAATCATTCTTTGTGCCATTGTTTCTAATACATACAAAAACACAGTACAACTTAATCTTTCAGGTCGCATCATGTGACAAAGCTAGGAGAGTTGAAGTCTTATTTTTTAGTTATCATTGTTTGAACGTTTTGCAGGTTCCTCTCATAAAGAGGAGAATTCTCCTATAATACAAAGGAACATGTCTACATGCTTGAGCGAAGCCTCAAATGGTAATTATCTCATTTTTTGTAAAATAATTTGTTTTAATCACTAAATGAAAATCAAAAGCAAATGTAAAACAGTAGATGTTATAGATCATAAAATATTCAAATAATGACAAAACAATGCCATTTCAGTATATTAGAATGCTGGCATTCGTCCATCTGCTCATCTGTCATTAATATATCAGTCCATAATCCGCAACCAATCTCTCGCTAATCTGACACGCCTGGAATCCATTGCAAATCCGTCGCTAATTAATCTGGTCCTAATGTGACCAAACTGTAGTTCATCCCTAATTTAATTTTCAAATAATATTTGTACTTAATCGTTGCTATATAAAGAGCTTTTCTAAGCAGGTTTAATGGTTGTACATTTTTAGTGACGCCTGTAAAACCATTGGTAAAACACAAAAGGGGGAAATCTGAGGATCTTCACGGTATTAAAACGAAAGATCTGAGGTTTGGCTATAAATATAATAGACTTGCTTCTCCATTAAAATCACAATTCTTGAAAATTTATATTCGTATATATATTATATTGTAACACCCATACATGCATGTCTTGTAGGTTAATGATCGGGACTTGGAATGTTGCGGGAAGGCTTCCCCCTGATGGCCTTGATGTCGACGATTGGCTTAGTATGCACCAACCGGCTGACGTATATATTCTCGGGTAAACTAATGTTATTGTTGTAATTTTGCTTTGACGCAACTTATGTTTTTAGTGGTAGCTGTGTAAAATTACTGTCAAGTTTTGTAGATTTTTTTTTCATCCTTCTGAAATTTAATATCTTTTGTTCACACGGAGCTTTTGATTAAAACAACGAATTAAAATATAACTAAGTTTTGGTTTTTTCAATAGGAAAAATTGCAATAAAATCTTTACATATTGGTTTTATAATCGATTTAGTTCTTATATCTTTTCTTTTTATTAAATTAAGTCTCACAAACCGGTAATTGTATTCAATTTAACCTTTTTACCTGGCCAACAGGTCATCCAACTTCAAAATTTACATTTTTGGCCCAAATTTCAAAATTTATTACAAATTTGGTCCTAAAGCTACACTTTTGGCCTAGATTTTTAATTTTATTACAGATTTGGTCCCAAATTTACCATTTTGGCCTAAATTTTAGAACTTTGTTATGAACTCATCCTAACCATAGTTTTTTACAACTTTTTTTTCTCAAAATTTTGTTTCGAATATGTTTTTTCTTTATAAAATCATATTTATACAAAAAAAATCATATTTTCACAAAAAAAAATCTTATATTTTCTACAGAAAACTTTTTTGCATACGAAATATCTATTTATAAAAATAAGTATTTATAAAGTACATAAATATATACAAATCCGTTTTTGTCAAAAAATGTATACAAACACGTATTTTAACAAAAAAATATATATAAAAACACATATTATATTATAAATACATTTGTATACAAACACATAGTTATATAAAAAATATAAACAAACACCTGTTTTCATACTATATATATATATATATATATATATATATATATATATATATATATATATATATATATATATATATAATCGGTGTGTCTATATTTTTTTATAAAATCGTATTTGTATACATTTCTTTTATAAAAACGTGTTTGAATAATTTTTATATATAAACTTGAATGAATACAAATGCCTTTATTATAAAATATATATATATATATATATATATATATATATATATATATATATATATGTTTTACAAAAGAAATGAATATGTTACTATGAAATAGCTGGTTGTATATATATTTTTTTATAAATATGTGTTTACATGCAAATGTATTTATAATAAAATAGGTGTTTTTATACATTTGTTTTTATAAAATATGTGACTGTATACATTTTTTTTTATAAAAACGGATTTGTATATATTTATGTAATTAATAAATACCTATTTTTATAAATAGGTATTTCGCATACAAAAAAAGTTTTTTAAAAAAAAAGTTTTTATATAGAAAATATAAAGATTTTTTATGTGAAAATATGTTTTTTGTATAAATATGATTTTATAAAGAAAAACATACTCGAAACAAAATTTTGAGAAAAAAAAGTTATAAAAAAATAAAAAAATAAAAAATAAAAATAAAGTTATGATGAATTCATATCAAAATTCTAAAATTTGGGCAAAAAGGGTAAATTTTGGACCAAATTTGTAATAAAATTCAAAATCTGGGCCAAAAGTGTAAAATTTGGACCAAAATTGTAATAAATTTTGAAGTTTGGACCAAAATTATAATTTTTAAAAGTTGGATGAAATGTTGACCGGGTAAAAGGGTTTAATTGAATACGGTTACCGGTTTTTGGAACTTAATTGAATAAAAAAAATATAATGACTAAATCGATTATTAGGTCAATATATAAGGACTTTATTGCAGTTTTTCCCTTTTCCAATATTATAAAACGGTTGAAGCAAAAGTACAATGCCACTGTAGACAAATTTCACATGTGTTATGTGTTATATTGTTGTGAAATTTGTTGTGTCATTATTGATAATGACAATATTTAGAATACATCGAATTTTGGTTTAGAAAAGTTATCTAATTCACTTGTTGCATCCGAATTAAAATTGTTGTTTATGAGTTCGAATTTCTTTTTTAAATAACTTTTTAATAAAACCAGAATCTCTAACAGAAATTTTGGTTAACAGTTTTCAAGAAGTTGTTCCTTTGAATGCGGGGAATGTGCTTGGAGCCGAGACTCGAGCACCGATTATAAAATGGGAGGCAATCATTCGAAAATCTCTTAACAAATCACAAGAACCTGAATACATACCTAAAAGCTATAGTGCCCCGACCTCTCCTGTTGCCGAGCTCAAAAGCAATGTGGATTTCCCGTCAACGACAGAAATCACCGATCCCGAAAGGAAAGAGATTACTTGGTTAACGGGATTATACGGCCTCGATTGGCCCGAATACACATTGGATAGAAAACAAGATATTTGTTTTTCAGGTAACAACTTACGTAGAGTACTAAGTAGCCCATATCAAGTTGGTAAAGATTGCTTAACCCATGAATGTATGTGACAGTTTGAGTATTCATTGAAATCATTTGAATTGTATTCCTCAATTGAACTACAAAGTATTTGTATCTTTATACTAGTTAAAGAGAGAAAAGAATATATCTTACACTAACTTTTACTAGCACAACTAACCACAATATTCTTGTTCGTACTTGACAGCTAACAATTTCGGTCCGCGAGACCATGTGGTTGATCCTGGGGGTTTGAGAATAGTGCGTCATAGCTCGTGCGACATGGGTTTGCTTTGGACGGAGAAACAAGAGAGGGCCGATCTTGTTGATTCTCTCTATGATTTATCCGGACAACTGATGGAAGAAGAAGATGATTCTCTCATGGACGGAATAAAAGTTGAACAAGGAAATCCACCGATAACTAGTGGCCGAAAAATTGATAGGTATGTTTCTCAACCTTGTAGGAAAAAATACCTTGTATTTCCACTAGATTATCGAATTTAGTTGTCTAACTATTTTTGGTAGTTTTTAAATCGTTACACATATTTTATGAAAAACATCTTTCTCATTACCCTATTTTGATATAATTGTAAAAATATATATAATGACAATCGTATCGACTTAGCTAATAAACAATTATATTGTATCACTTTAACTGATCTATTATCATAATAGTAAAATTTAAATAAATTAATAGTTTTGTGGCGAAATCAATAATGATGGAAGTACATGCATGGATGTGTTTACCATTTCTCAAAATCGGATAAGCACCAAGAATGGTCATTTTAGAACCGGTTCAAAGAGTATAATGTTTTAATATAGAAAATAGTGATGTGACTAATTTGATAAAACGGTGAAGTTGTAAGTGCTTTTCCGTATTTTCTAATATGTTGTCTGTTATATCAAAAAAATAAACAATTTCCTTTTTAAGAATATATAAAACATGATTAGCTTAATTAATTTAAACTCCCTTTGATACATGTCGGTTTGTAATATGACAAATTAAACTTACTAGCACTAGACCAAACTAAACCAAAAGTACTTGTTATGTATTAGGTATGTGCGAATCGTAAGTAAGCAGATGGTGGGTATATACCTTTCGATTTGGGTTCGTAAAAGGTTGAGAAGGCATATCAGCAACGTAAAAGTAACGCCCATTGGCATCGGGCTAATGGGCTACATGGGAAATAAGGTAACGTTTTTGCAACTTATTGAATCAACCCATGATGAGAAGTCTTTGTATGTGCACAATAATTAACAATATACTTTGATTAACTTATTTATTATAGCATCATACTTTGCTTTCCTCCTATTAGAACATTCTACTATGAAAAAATATATCAAGTTATAGAACTGCAGACAAATTCAAAAACAATTATCACTCCTATAATTGGGTAAATTTTTTTATGTATAATGTCCTAATTAAAAAATAATTTTGAAAGTACATTCATATTCTTTTAGAATTTTCAAGTTATAATGCCATAATTTGAAAAAACTTCAAAATACATTCATATCCTCCTAGTATATTGTAAGCTGGAAAATCTACACAATTATAACAATGTCATTTAAATTGAAACCAATTTATGTTGCTATAAGTGGTTAGATTTCAAAGTATAATGTCATGAAAATAAACTAACTAGAACTAGACTGCTACAATTGGTGGAACTTTCATACTATAATGTCTTTATAAGAAAATAAGGAAAAGTACATTGTTGTAAGGGTACATTTTCCAAAAGTATAATACCTTTTTCTAATGGATAACTCACCCAGTGCCTTAATAAGAAGAAAATGAAAGTATCATGTTGTACCGTTGTAAGGTTGTAATGCCACGAAGCAAAAGTAAGAATGCAATATACTATAACACACAAATAAATGAATTTACATTGTTCTTTCTTGCTTCTAGGCCTTCTTATTGAGAAGAACGTAATTGAAAGTTTTTGGTTCAGGGATCTATTTCTGTTAGCATGTCTCTTTATCAAACACGCATATGTTTCGTTTGTTCTCATTTGACATCCGGACACAAGGACAAGGATGATGGGAGGCGCAACTCTGATGTTAATGAAATCTTGAGACGAACTCATTTCTTATCGGTATTAGACCATGATCAACCTAAAACAATTCCATCTCATGAGTAAGGCCATGTTTTTTTCTTTCTTTTTTCTTTCAAGTGTTGTCTAGATAAACGATGGTTTAATTAATATGTTAGAAAATGATGTGGATATAAGAAAATTGTTTAGATTTGTAAAAAAGTTCGGACCTAGCCAGGAAAGCCTCCATTTTCATACTTCTGATACTAAGTCGTTCTTTCTCAATTAAACAGCCAGATATTCTGGTTTGGCGATTTGAATTATCGTATCAATATGGCAGACGCAGACGTCAGAAAAATTGTTGCCCTGAAGCAGTGGGAGAAACTGCTATATAACGATCAGGTAAAGTAATTAGAGTCATGTTTATAACGTTTAGCATATGTCATGCTTAGGACTCTATTTGTTAGGCGATAAAAAAAAACATGGCGACCTTATACTGCCTTTGATGTGCAATGCAATTTCACGGGACAAAATTTTCAATTTTCTATCACATCCAAAAAGATGTAACAAAGACTCTCTCTCGGTCTCTAATCTGTGCAAAACACATAAAACCCGTGCAAAAGACATAAAAGCCCTTATTCTCTTCGTTATCCAAAATAGTTACAGTTTAATATTAATGACAGTTATGCAAAGAGCTTAGAAGCGGGTGTGTCTTCGAGGGATGGAAGGAAGGTGTTATCAACTTCCCCACCCACTTACAAGTATAAAATCAATTCGGATCTCTATATAGGTGAAACTCCAAAAGAAGAGGAGAAAAGAAGAACACCAGCATGGTATGTGAATGTTTTGAAAGTTTTGAGGTCAACCAAACAACTTTTTTAAGGCTAAATAAGTCTCATATTATGATAAAGTTTTAAAAAATAAAAAAAAATTAGACAATCTTTAACGCTTTTTCAAAGCTACAAACTGAAATTACATGTGTTCAATCCTCTTTCAAATCCCCTAAGAAAAAGTTGAATTTTAATTATGGCGAACACTTCCGTGGATTTTTGAATGTCTAGGATATGGATGAAAGAATTAAATTTTATTTTTCCTTCTAATAAAAGACCCACATACCCAGGGGCGAATCCAATGTAAAGCCCGGGGTAGCCCGAGATGCCCCATAAATTTTTTCCAATACTTTAATTCTTTTAGGAAAAATTCATTTTATGTAGTGTATATATACATAATATAAATATGTTTAGCGACAAAAATAGCAAAAGTTGTAGTTGGTTCATGTGGTTATGGCGATAAGGCATTTTTCCAGAGGTTGCAAGTTTGAATCTTCTTTCTTACATTTTTTTTCTTTTATTTTCGCGGCTATATAAAAGGATTTTATATAAAATTATCCATATTTTATACCTATTATGATGTTGTGAATATTAAACACAAGTATCGAGTTATCCAAGTGGTAAAGTGCTGAACTTTTAACTTTGATGTCCCGATTTTGAATCTCGGTCTTGACACGGGTGTATTTTATTTTGTTTATTAGTTTCTATCCTATATCCCTTCAACTTGTTTCTTATAATTTTAAAATTTTCCCACATCTTCCATAACATGAAATATAGCTCCTATACATTTGTTATATAAGCAACACAAACTTCTCAATTCCCAGCAAGTTAAACTTTTGAATGGGTTTAGGTTTAAACCCGAACCCGAATATGGAAAACCGAAAAACTAAACCCATCATTTTGGGATATCTTTACTTTGACCCTGACTTCGCCACTATACGTACCTTTGGTATATTTCTTTTGAATATATATATAGGGCTGATTCTTGTGAGAACTAAAAAAAGCATGTGAACTTCGAAACTCATAATCAACTCATCATTTTTCAAAACCAAAAACACCAATCTTCTCCAAATGGTGTGTCTAAGCCACATCTACGCTAAAAAAATTGACAATTTATTTTATTTATTTTTTGAAATTTGCATGTATGCAATATCAGTAATCATATGGACTGCTCATAAGCACAATTAGCAGTCATATGGACATCGGATGTGCACAATCCACAACCATATGGACTGTTGATGAGAAATCAGCAGTCCATATGACTGCTGAGTGTGCTCATTAGCAGTCTATATGACTACTGATTATGCTCATCAACAGTTATACAAAAAACCAAAAAAAAAAAAATCGTCAAATCTTTTTATAAGTCTTGATATGGCTTAGACGCATCATTTGGAGAAGATTGGTGCTGAAAAATGATGAGTTGATTATGAGTTCACAAGTTCTCACAAATCTTTTGGTTCTCAAAAGAACTTTGCTCTCTCTCTCTCTCTCTCTCTATATATATATATATATATATATATATATATATATATATATCTATATATATATATATATATAAATATATATATATATATCTATATATATATAATATATATTATATATATAGAATGGTTGACTTGAGATTCTAAAAAAATAGAGATCTTGATATTTCAACCTCAACAACATATTTCTCATTTTCCGCTCTAACATTCCAACGTACTGGCAACAACGGGGTATGCCCAATTATAGATGACTATATAGCGAAGAGGTATAATCATATATGATTATACATATTTATACATATATGTCTAATCATAAATGATAATACATATATATTTATTCAAAAGGGCTTAATCATATATCATTATAGTGGTTGGTGGTGGGGGGAGGTGGTGGTGGAAGAGGTGGCTATTGTATAGTTGATGGAAGTGGTAGTAGTATGGTCGGTTAGTCGCGGGGTGGTGGTGGTGGTGGAGGTGGCGATTGCGGTGGTGGGGAAGGCGGTGTAGGAAAAGGGAACATGCGGCGCTCCATATTCATTTATTATTATAAACCCCCCACCGTGCCGGTATATCAGAGGGCTAGAGTGGCAAATAGGAAATATATGGTTCAGATTGAATCTCAAAATCTCTATTTTTTTTATAATCTCAATGAATATACCTCTCTCTCTCTCTCTCTCTATATATATATATATATATATATATATATATATATATATATATATATATGTTCATGTGAGAAAGTCTATTGTTATGTAAGTGTGAGACTATTTTTTTCTGATGAAATATTCTAGTGTTCATAAAAGTATAATATACGTATTATTCTAATATTCTAGAACAATATTTTTAACATATTTTACATTGAAATATTAATACGAACACTAGAATATAAGAATTAATCATAACAGCAACTATAAATATCATTAAACCATATTTTATATATAATTTTATTCATCACTAACCCACAGGTAGAGGCCATTGAGACAATTGAGATTATAGAATTTTAAAAAATGTCTACATTATCATATAATTTAAACAATGTTTATACCAAATTATTATAAGAACTAACAAAAACATCATTGGCATATATTTAAAAAACATATATTTGTAAAGATTTCAAATATATTATTGTATTCTGCGCAACGCGCGGGTATTCGCCTAGTATACTTATAAAGGAAGCATTTTCTTTTCACCACATTTATTTGAAACTCCCATGACTTTTCAATTTCTCTCTAATAATACTTTAATTATTAATTTAAATATAATATCATAGGGTCAACTTAAATATAAATTTTAGTTCAACTTAAACAACCCAAAGAATATTTTGTAAATAGTTAAAGTTGATAAATTTTAGTTTCTTTCTATTAATAATTATAATTTGGTTAATAAGGTTGAATAAATATCAAATACAAAGTGTAATCATAAATAAACTAAATTTCAATATTAAAGTAATATATTTACTTTTACTCGTAAAGTTATATCTTTAACTTTTAACATATTAATCTTAACTTAATATATTTAATATGTTGATGTATGTAAATGATTATCAGTTTAAAGCTACAATTTTTGAACAGTTTGGATAAAATACTTAAATTGTTAATTTAAATATAACATTACATGATCAACTTAAATATAAATTTTAATTCCACTTTAAAAAAGCTAAAGAATATTTTGTGAATAGTTAAAAGTGATAAATTGTAGTGCTAAATGCATAAACTAAATTGAAATTTCAATTTAACTAAAGTATTTTCGAGGATATTTTTATAATCATTAAATGTTTCCAAACAAGTAGCTTACAATAACAATAGTTAAAAATAACATTGTATAAATGATTATATTGTTAATTTTAAAAACAAAAAACAATATTTGATGTTTTAAATAATTATAATGATAGAAATTAAACGTTAAGCTAATAAAATTTAAAAATATAATTAACAATAATAACAACTATAAATAACATTAAATCATATATTATTTTTTATTTTCATTCATGAGTAACCCGCGAGTAGAGATCATTAAGGTACTGTTTGTTTTTTTAAAAAAAGCTTCTTCAAACCACTTTCTACTGCGCGGTGCAGCATACACGCAACATTTTCCCTCTCCCAGCAGTTTGTTTTTTGGAAGACTTCAGACTACAAAACCTCTGCGCGTGTGCTGCGTGGCGCAGCACTTGACTTGCCTCTTCAAACCTCTTCATCTTTCATTTTTTTTAAGTGTTTTTTTTAGAATTTTGGTATAACTTATTTTTTTTAACTTTTATTTTTTTAAAAAACTTAGATTTTTTTAAACTTTTATTTACGGATTTGATACAATTTCTTATTATAGTTTTCACAAAATTTTTTGAACTTGATTTTAAAAAAAAAACTTTAATTTTTTTACCGTTTCTGTTAATAATATTTTCAGTTTCAATTTCATCTTTTTTAATGTGTGTAATTTTTTACGAACTTTGAAGACATTGTTTGCAATTCTTTCTTAATTATTTTATTATTTTCTTTTTTATGTTTTTTAAAGTTAGTTTTTTTCTAGAATAAAGCTGTTAGCCTCTTTTATATTTTTGTAAGTTTTTTTTAAAAGTTTTATATTTTTGTTTTTCAAATGTTCTTTTTAGTATTCTTTCAATGTTTTAAGACTAGAATTATTTAAATTTCGGTGTTGAAAACTATTTTCAGTTTATAAAATTAGTTTATTTAAATTTTAGTTTACTGCAGCAGTCTGCAGATGTTAAAAAACAAACATGTTTCTTATTATGGGTTGCAGCCGTTTGTTCCACCTCTTCTGCTACAGAGGATTGCAGATGTGGTCCACAGACCTCACGAATTTTCACTTCGAAAAAACAAACAGCACCTAAAACAACGTTATTCAAAATAATCAATATATCATATCAACTTAATATACAAATTATTATATCAAATTTAACAACAACGTTATTGTTATATTTAAGAATACATATATTTGTAAAGATTTCAACTATATAGGTGTTTCTGCGCAACGCGCGAACATTCGCCTACTATACTTATAAAAGAGACATTTTACTTGCACCATGCATTTGTAACCTCCATGACTTTCAATTTCTTTTTAATAATTATTATAATTGGTTAATAATGTTGAATTAATATAAAAACTAAATTCTAATCATCATTTAACTGAACTACAATATTAAAATATCATATTTACTTCTATTTATAAAATTATTACTTTATCTTTTTAACATATTATAGTTAACTTATAATTTTAAATACGTTGTCGTATGTTAGCAATTATCATTTTAAAGACACAACTTTTGTATAATCTACGATTTTATGTAAAATAGTTAATATATTAACTTCAATATATGTTAAACGGTTAACTTAAATCAAAATTTCAGTTAAACTTGAAGAAAATCGAGAGATTATTTTATACATTGTTAAAAGTTATAAATTATATTGTTAAACCAAAATTGTAATCCTAAATTAACAAAAAAACCATAAAAACTATTTTTTATAATCATTAAAAATTTTCAAATAAGTAGTTTAAAAATAACTTACAATAAGAATAGTTAAAATTGATATTATATAAAAACTTATAATGTTATCTTTAAAACAAAAAACAATGCTTGTTATTTTCAATAATTACAATCAAAGAAACTAACCATGTTCATCAGATAAATTTTTAAAAAAATTAAATTTCTGAAACCAAATTAAAATAATTACGAGTCTCTAAATACGATATTTTACATTAACTTATAACAACAATAGTTAAATGTATCGCTATATTGTTATCTTTAAAAACAAAAATAGTGTTTGATGTTTTAAATAATTTCAATGATAGAAATTAAAATTTTAAGCAAATAAACTTTTTAAAATTAATTAATCATAACAACTATAAATATCAATAAACCATATATTATATTTAATTTTATTCATAAATAACATGCAGATAGAAACCACTGAGACATTTGAAATTATAAATTTTAAAAGACGTCTACGTTATCATATAATTCAAAACAAACAATGTTTATACCAACTTATTATAAGATTTATTATATAAGAGCTAACAACATCATTGATATATTTAAAAAACATATATTTGTAGAGATTTCAAATATATTGTTGTATTATGCGCAACGCGAGGATATTCGCCTAATATATATATATATATATATATATATATATATATATATATATATATATATATATATATACACACACACACACACACACACACACACACACACCACCTACCCTCCCCTCCACCACCTTTCCACTGCCATTTCCACCACCTCTACCACTACTACTACCTCCGCCACTGCCACCGTTACCTCCATCACCACCCATCACCACCTCCGTCACCGCTGTCACCACCACCTCCTCCAATGTCTGTACCACTACCACCACTACCACCGCTACCGCTACCCCTACCACCACCACCTCCACCACCAACTACCACAACCGTCACCACCACCTCCATCATCACCTTCGCCACTGTCATCGACACTTTCATGGTCACCAACATCTCGGCTACCCACCGTCACTGTAACCGCCACCACCACCGCCACTACCACCACCACAACCACCTCTGCCACATCTACCAGCACCATGTCCGCTAGTGTTGCCACCATCCTCGCTATTGTAACGGTCATCATCGCTACCATCAGTGTCACTGTCACCACCTCTGTCACTAACCGCCACCAACCACCCTATTTATATATGATTAATCACTTGTGAACGGACACATACTTATTGATATATGAGTATGAATATACATATTCATATATGAGTATGATATGTTCAGTCGTCCCGGTACGCTAGAGCGCTTAAGCGACAGATTTGAAATGAGTGATCATGATTCATTCCCTCCTTTTATATATATATTATATATATATATATATATATATATATATATATATATATATATATATATATATATAAAAAATTTAAAATAATCTAATTTTTTATTATATAATTTACCCTCTTTGTTTACAACAAAACCTTGCTGGCTGTGATTACTTGATATTCATATTCACATTTTGTGAAAAAAATTTACAAGCTAAAGGTCTGGATAAACTCAAATGTATTTATATTATTATCGATTGAAAACATAATGAATCTAAGTCATGAAATGCAGGTGCGATCGTATTTTATGGAAGGGAAAAGGCATTGAACAACTTCGTTACGAAAGTGTGGATTCACAAATGTCCGATCATCGGCCCGTTAGATCAGTTTTTTCAATTGTGGTTAAGGTCTTTGACCCTACAAAGATTCGTCGAGCTCTTGATTTGACCATTCCGTTCATCCAGATATAATCATGCATGGAGGAGTTAAAATTATCACAAAGAGGTTTAAGTTCCATATTCTTGTTCGTTGATGAGATTATTATTGATGTTGGTTTTATAAATTCTTCAAGTGAAAGTGGTTTTACACTTAATTACGACATGGATTTGTAATAATATAGTAACTCATAAGTTTACCCCTTTTATATAAGAATCTTAACATTAAATAAAAAAACTATATTGGTATATTTTGTTGAAACCGTAAAAGTTTTGAATCTTAGAAGTTGTAGTATGTGAGTTTCCAATCACGTGTAAGTTCACTCATTATGAGAAATATGCTTTGATGCCAAACATTCATAGTACTTGTCTATGAATATTTTGATGTGAGTAAGCCCAAGTCGAAAAACTTCTGGATTAGTCTCTCGAAGATACGAAGCATCTTTATCTTTTAAAAGAAATGCAACTTGTATAAGATCATACAAGTTCATCAACGGAAAATCAGCCACAGAAAAATCACAGACTTGACCATTCGCTCTTGCAACAAAGAAACGAAAATTTTGCATCAAGTTTTTGAACATAACATCCTTCTTAATGCTGATCACCTTCTTTATCTTCACAAGTGACCATATTTCCTCTGGAGCTTTCCCAAGAACAGCATGAAACCTGAGTTTCATATATGTGTAATCATCATCATTATCAAATTTCTCAGCAATTTTGTACTGAGCCATGATGAACATCATTTCATTGATTGGAAAGTCAGGCTAACTCATATCTGTATTCGTAACTATATAGCTCTACTTAGGCTTCTTCTCAAAAGCATACATATGATTGAATGCCACTTTTGCTTCAATTGTTTCATAATTGTAATGCTTAGCATGATCTCCCTTATCCATTCCAGGAGGATCACTTGCACGAAGTCTCATTATGCTTTGAACCACTCTTAATTTTTCCAACTCAGCTTCTGCTTCAGCTTTCTTCTCCTCTTTCGACTTTTCGATCACAATTGTTTTCCCTTTGTCTTTGATCGAAGAGCTATCAACAACTTCTTTTGGCTTCGAACTACTACCACCTCCAGCAGAAGAACCAATCACAATTCCTTTCAAAATTGGCCTTATAATTGGTATCGTGGTAACAACCGTTGAAGTAACTGGCCCAGCAGATGAAAGAATTGGTTTTGTTGTTGGAATCTTTGTTGAATAAACTTTGCCAACAGTCTTAACATCTTCATGCGAAATCCCACCAACCTTCGCATCACCAACCTTCTTTTCTCCCCCTTGCACCCCTGTGGTAACAGGTGGGGCAACTGTTGGTAGAAGATTTGAGATCCTGGACAATGGAGCCAACTGTTTATGCAAAACAGCTTCGAATTGAGAAAACTTCTGAGACAAGAATTCTGGTGTAATGATCGAAGAGGAAACAGGTTTGACAGATAATTCTTTCAGCTCCTTTAGCAGATTAATGACCTCCACAAAATTTTGACTATCACTTGTAGAAAGTTGAGTAAGTTGAGGACTCAAACTTTCGTACATCGTAACATACTTTGTGACAGCATCACAAATAATATCCACCTTCTGACTGAGAGATGCATAGTCTTGCTGAGCACTAGCAATCTCTTTCACCATATCTTCACGAAGTTCTTGAAGCTTGAGATTGACATCTTCACAAACTTTCTTCACATCAAGAACGAATAAGGTATGTCTTTCTTTGGCCTCACTTTTGAGTTCTTTTACTTCACGCAGAAAATTCGCGGGCTTAGAGTTCACTCGTAACTCATTGTTCTGATCATGATGGTCTATCTTCTCTAAGATTCTAGACCCCGAGTCTCGAATCATTCCAGAAACTTTGCTAATCACCCTGGCTTCGAATGCTTTCATCATTACATCAATTTCGAAACTGGATACAGATTGACTTCCCCCCATGTCAGCTTGAGACTGAATAATGAATTCAACTTCTTGTTCCGAATCTTGAATTGCTTCATGGACATCAACATATGATCAGGAAAATTCTCTTCCTCATCATCAAACTCCAAATCTTCAAAAGTTCCCCCAAAACCCCCTTCGTCAGTATTAGTGTCTTCATTAGGTTTGGGTGGATCAGTTGATTGGGATGAAAACAAAGTAGTAAAAGGTTGATTGAGAATGTTTTCGTAAGTGGGTGAAGTTGTTGTGGTTGTGGTTGAAACAGGAATGATAAACGGTGGTAAGGTAACAAAAGTATCCATAACTGAAGAATCAGGATTACCTTGAGTTGATTTTGGAGCTTCTTGATTCAAATCTCCTTCGCCCATATTGACATTTACATCCGTATCAGATACGTTTGTAGTGATGTCTGAAGTCCGAACCTCCTCAATTACTGACTCAGTTAACGAAACTTCGGGTGGTATGACCTCAGTCTTCTCAGGAGTCAATTTAGAAAGAGTGTCTTCAGGTGTTTCAGGAACTTTCTCATCTACGGACGAATCTTCTTGAATTACCAACTTTCGTTTCTTTAGCTTCTTCTTGGAAATATTTTTTGCCACATCTTCAGCTCTTCGTTTCTTTGATGAAGGAGAAACTGGAGCTGGAACTTCACGAATAAGGACCCCTTGGTGAGTAATATGTTGTTTACGAACCATTGTGGGAGAAAACCTAGAAGATCCATCTGTAGACTTTCGTGAACCACGAACTTGTTGCTTTAGTTTTCTAAAAACACCAGACTTCGAAGGAACTGTTTCCTTAACTTGATCATCATCAACAGGCTCAGTAGGCTTCGTTGGCTCAATAGACTTTGTCTCATCATACGAAACATGCTCCTCTGTCGTAGACTGTTTCTTTGGAGACTTTTTGGGCTTGGATTCTTGCACAAGCTTCTCAGGAGTAGCCTTTGCATCCTTCTTCAAACGGTTCGATTTCTTAGAAGGACCAGCATCCTCTTTGGACAATAACTTTCATGTTTCAACAGCAGGATTGATAGTCTTCAAATACTCAACCAACACCAAGTTTGTTGGATCAACACGCTTCAACATTGCATCAGGGATCCTGGCAATGTGTGTAAATACCTCAGCATCATCAGAAACCTCCTTTGGAAAGTGATATTTCATGAATTCAGCAGTCTCTTCATCAGCAGGCAACTGAATCCCTTCTTTGTCATAGAAATAACGAAGAATCAAACTCCAATACCTTGCACACGAAATTCCTTGAACCACGTTTGTGTTCTCAACACTTTCTGAAATTCCTTCCACATCTGAGTTGAGTAATCCACTGAAATATCATAATACAATCCAGCAACCATAGCATAAACTTCCATTCGACCTTTATCTAAACCAACACTGCGACCAGTCAAGCAGCGTAAAAAGATTCCAAAGAGAAAATTCCAAACAGTCGGAGGTCCTGATTTCTTGAAATCACTGATCTTGGTGAGTGGGGGTTGACGACCCATCTCATTGAACATATAGTTGACTTGAGCAAAAGAAAGATCAGTATATGGTGGAGAATTAGGGATATCAAGAATCTGACAGAATATCTTCTTGGTCAAGCGTATCTTCTTCTCATTCACCAGTTGAAAGGTAATAATATCTATTGCTTTGCTGTAAGTAGCACTGGATCCTGCTTGTGAAAGCCATGAAAGAGGAACAACAAACGAGTTGAACATGGTAGTCGAAAGAACAGAGCTTTTCAACGCGACAATCAACATCTTTAATTCTTCGGGATACAGTGAAACATCCCTCTCGACTTGATAATTTGTGCTTTGAATCTTCATAATCGGTTGGGAAGTGATTTCTTCAGTTGTTCGGGATGCAGAATCAACACCAGCATGAGCAGCCATGATTAGGGTTTTGAAGCTTTGAAGAACAGATACAATTTGGGGAATTTTTCTTTTGTGAGCGTAAACTGAGAAAGAACCCTTGATTCCCCTTTTATATTTAACCATGGAATTTGAATTTAACGCGGGATAAGCATTAAATAAGATCTGACGTGGCACCTTGAAACTCGCACCACTCTGCCGATAAAGTAGCCATGCGTCAAAAAGTAACTGTCACATCGCCTTGAAAGTCGGACTGAATACAAAACGTCGTGTCACACAGTCTGTTCGTGTCTCCCAATAGAATTGTAACCGTCACCAACCTTCGGATGGAGGTAAATCTCTTTCGTCTTTGGGTTTAGAGACGAAGTCATTAGCTAGACGTTTGAAATCATCAGCCTGAGTTGGTAGTACTCAGAACCTCAAGGATTTCGTGAGTGCAGTGTGCCAAAGATAAGATAAGAAGCAAATTAACAAAAATTTGGAATTGTGATGTCGAAAAACAAATTTTCGACACAAAAGCAAATGGACCCCAGGTAAAGGTTGCTTCGTTAATTATCAAGAGAGATAATCAACTGCTTGTGTATGTTCCCGTGAATTTCAATCGAATACTTATAGAGAAGTATCGAAGGGCTTCTTTTGCAAGGCTTTGTGGGTGGTTTACAATTTCGTTACATATCAACCTAAACATAAGGTGAGTAATTGTAACAGAAATTACCTGTTTGATCAGTGTAGTCAGGGACAAGTATGCTTTGAATTATTTTACATGTGACTTAGAAAGCAAATGAAACTCACACGGAAATCACATTCAAGAAAATAAAATTTGTGTGCTGGATCTTGTTGGGTAACAAATATCGTGGGATTCAAATATTTGATCAAGACCACTCAAACGAATTGAATATGATTTGGAGTTTCGAAAATTGGTACAGAAACAAATGTTTCGTTAAAACTGGAACAAGGTTCCCCGTCAATTCCTTATATGGGTTCGTAAGGTTGGGTTTCACTTTCATCACGGTCTCATGATGTTAGATCATTAACACAGAAGTTTGATATGCCTAAGTCATGATTGGTTTGATCAATGACCTCTCAGACATATGTCATTGTGTGTGAGAGTGTAAGAATTTTGGGATGAAAAAGATTGGTTCACGAAATCAAGTGTACCTCTGTTATGATTGGACCAAACAGACAACTCTTAACTCATTTGAAAAGAGTAAGGTAGCTCAGGAGACTAATGTGAATGTAAGCCTGATTGGGAAGAAATTTTCGTATGAAAAATTTCATTAAGGCTTTTGAAATCACACATTCAGTCAATAGAGGCTTGGGTCGACATGCTGCAGCATGCTTCTAGGGACAGTCTAACTAGTACATAGTTGTCGAAATTGTACCTTCCCATAGAAACACAAGCATGACCCTTGGAAAGT